TTGTTGCCGGCTTCTTGCTATTGTGAATAGTGGCGTGGGGAGCAGGGGTGTATAGATCTGTTTGAATTAGGGTTATTTCTTGAGGGTCGATAGTGAGTAAGGGATTGCCAGGTGATACGGTATTCCTACTCCCAGCTGTTTAAGGAAGCACCATGCTGGTTTTCCCAGCAACTGTGCAGGTTTCACTGTCCCCCGGGGCTGGATGGGGTATGTCATGTCCCCACACCCTCTGCAGCGGGTGTAATTTTCTGTTGGGAATTATGCTGTCCGCGCTGAGGGTGTGTGACACAGTCATCTCTCCTCTGATTGGCCTCTCCCAAGTGGCTAGTGATCATGAGCAGCTCACATATATAGTAAAAATTTTAAGACAAGTGGCTCAATAGAAACAGTGTAGTATTATATATGCAAATAAATACAAAATACTTGGCAGGGTACAGTTAGCCGTAACTCCCCTGAGGAGAAAGGAGAAGCTATTGGTGACCCCATAGGGCATGAAAACAAATTTTCATTTCAATGTGTTTCAGTAATGACTGAATGTTTGTCATGGTCAATGTTTGATTTTTTTTTATGTTAGAAAGAGTCATCAAGGCTCTAATAAATGAATTGATATATTATGGAGATATGATCTATATATATAAAAATGTATTAACATATAGGTTTGATTGCATGTATTCATGTAGCTCATATGCATGTGTGTGTAGAACATGGACCATTTGTCTCCATCTATGGACTATGTGTGGTATATGTGAAGATGTGTCATAGGTGCTATACAAAAAGAGGTGTAATTTTAGCACGTGTGTAGTTTTGTGAAAACATATTGAAATAGATTTTACTTTTAGAGCTCTTACATACAACAAAAACTACATCTGACTTTCCTCAAAGTAAAGCTGTCCCAGTGTTTTATCTTTGCGCTAGTGGTGCTGACAGGTTAAGGGCTGGGCTGACACATGCTCATCGGAAGAATCGGGGGAGAGAAAGCTAAGCCTCTCTACTTAGTTGGCCACGCTGAGGTGTGGAAGTAAACACAGAAACAAATCCCCAAGTCTTAGCGCTCTCAGCCCTCACTCGACATTTCTCCCGGTGTCTAATTTAGCAACAGCTCCGTTTCGAACTTTAGTCAGCTGATTCAGAGCTGAGTCACAACAGAATGTTAAACTATGTAAAGAGGAGGCCGGTGCCGCGGCGGCGCAAGGTGTGCGCATTTCAATTCAGACTGGAGACCACGCAAGGAGAGCAATCCCACACTTGAGAACCTGCCGGTATCGAAACCATTTCTCAGCAAAGCTATTGAAGTTGC